TGCAAGAAGCATGAATCCTCTGTTGAGATCCCAAGCAAACCAGCCAACCTGATTTCACTAATTAGCAAGAAAACATACAGCACCACTGCAGAGGATAAACTAATTTTTTACCCTTTGCTCTTTTACTCCTCCAACCTACAATGTGTAACTATAAAACCACTTTAAAACACATTACCCCAACATATCCATACCAGCATGTGACCACCCACCTTGTCCATAACTAGCACAAATTAAAGCTCTACTAACAGAGACCAACCCAGGTAGCTGCCAGGCTGTCGGGTGGACATTCCTGGAGCGCTTGCAAGTTGCCTTCGCAGGTTAGACAAGGAGAGCACATCCCTGCCCCGAGGCTCCCTCCCAGCATCACCAGATGTTTTGAGAAGTCTTGGTACTCCAGGAACGCGAAGGGAGAACCCAGTACTCTTAAGCCAAACACCTGGCCACAGGAGGGTGGCGATAGGTCCTCAGGTGGCAATCTGAATAAAATCAACTATAGCAATTACTGATCGCTTGTGTCCTCAGCAAAGTGTAACCGTGCTTTCTTCCCAATCCTCCCTTCTGCAGAAAGCCAAAGAGATGCCACTTCTTCTGAGAATGACCCTGGAGCAAGACCAAAGGGGCAAGAAAACAGCCCCTCCCCATGACAGTGTACAGGGGGTGGGATGGTCAGGAGGAGGGCCTGGCTGCGAACATGAAACGAGAATTTGCTATTGAATCTGTGGACAAAAACCAACCTGGAATGGCAAGTTGTCTGTCAAATGCCTCTGCTGCAACCATGTCTGTTTAGAGAGCCACAAGATGCTGTGCAAGGACTGGCACCTCCAAAAGACTTCTGCTCGCATCCCTAACGATTTAGAGCAACACTGCCGTGGTTGTAGTGATATGAGCCATTCTCAAGATGCCTTAGCTGCAATTTTCCCCTAGGGGAAAAAAACCAATTTCAGTAATAATAGACACATCAGACTTTCCTGTCCAAGGTACCTTCCTCCTCCACAAATTTAGACTATTATTTATTCTGTTTCCATAGATTAGAAATTTAGATTATTGTTTTTTTCTAAGCCTCACCCTCATCTGCATCTTAGCCCTGACCTGGCCTCTGGACTGTCCATGTGGCCCCTCATCAGGGTGGGCGGTGGGGAAGGGACCCGGCCAGTCCCGCTGCCTCATGTCAAGCACCCCTCACCTGTGCTGCTGCCGCTTAGCATCAGGAAAGGACCAAAGCACAGCCCTGTGTGGAGTAGCTCCACCTACAGACCCAGCAGCACCAGCCACAGGCATCTTTTTCTTCGGGTTTTAGCATTTTAAGATATTGTTAAGGGGAGGGGAGAAACATTTTGCTGGTTTGACTGTTGAAATTCAGGCTTAACTTTGCAAGCTGTTAGCTGAGATGATCTCTGGTAGGATCTCACACCATTCTCTCTTTTAGGAGACGTGTTTTGTGTTAAAGATGGTTTGATAAAACTATATAAACTGTTGGAATAAATAACACAGCCTTCAAGTACTGAAGGTGTTTTTTTCCGCCTGGATGTTTCTTCTTCCTCTGTTTTGCCTTGTCGCAGGCTGAGCTGCAGGGCGGTCCACCAGCTTCACACGGAGCTGTGTTACAGGGGAGTCCCTTCCATTTGGGTCTGTGAACCCCCCAGGTTTGCAGCACCCAGGTGGAAGCAGATGTGGTTGGGCACAGAAAATGCTAAAAGTCTGCCCAACTTTCCCAGGTTTGCTGCCAGGCAGCGCTTTTCCCACGGGTGTTTCATCCTCCCGTGGAGCGCTGCTCCCCTCCATGTCACTACCCCAGAAGTACAGCACAAGGCTGGTGTGGGACATGGCGGAGTGGCCCAGACACCAGCAGAAGACATGCCGGTGGGAAGAGGCGTCTTCACCCCGCAGCACAGAGCTACGAGGACATCGCTGGCGTTTCACCCAGCCCGCGCAGAGCCGATCCCGCCGGAGCTGCGGGAAGCAGCTACAGCCCGGCTGGGATCCATGGCTGGCGCAGGGATAAGGCAGAGCTGGCCTGAGAAATACTCTCCACTGGTGACGCAGGGACAAGCATCACCCTGACAGCCTAGGGAAGAACTGAATGTTACAAGTTTGAGATTTATCAGAGAAAACAAGGCCATAAATAACCAGAGAAGCAGCTGCCAGACAGAGGGAGAATTCTCTGTGGGCCTCGAGAAGCGATGGCCACGGGGCCAGCACAGAGATGTCCATGGCTCCAGCCCCCGCAGGAAACGAGGATTTGGCATCCAGGTAGTGGCTGCATCTGCTGCTTTGGCAGCTGCAAACCAGCTCGGCTCCCGGAGCTGCCTGGATACTATTGCAGCTCTGTGCCCAGACAGCGGCCAAGAGCCTGCTCCCGTGTCCCTCTGCTCGGGGGGCAAACCAGCAGGTAGCTCCTGAGCTTGGCTGAGCTCACAGTTGGGTCTTTAAGCCCCATTTCCAGCTCTGCTCGTTGCTACCGAACAGTATTTTTGGCTCATGCTGACACGCACAAAGCCAAAAGGCAGTGCAGAGGGACTGTGCACCAACCAAGACCTCCAGCAGCCAAACACGGGCTAATCTTAGGTCTCCCTGGTCAGAAAATATCTGTTCCAGAATTATATTTAGGCAGATGATTAGGGACCTGTGGGCCAGCTACCCTCAGGGCACAGGCGAGAGGCATCAGGTTCCCCCTACAAGTGAAAGGGCCAGGTCAGCTGCGTCGCCGATTGTGCTGAAAGACCGAGGGCACTGGCTTAATCCAGCCACATCCTGACTTGCAAAGCTGCTGAGCACACGGATGCTCTGAGCCCTTCATTTCAGCCGAACGCAGAGGCCTGCTGGACCTCCCAAAACTCTCTAACCGAGCACTAAACGATCAGAAAGTCTTTCAGCAAACACTCCCCTGCCCGAGCTGGCAGTGCAGTCCAACAGCCAGGCAGCCCAGGCTGGACCACTTTGGTTCTTGGCATCAACCAACTGTGCAAAACTCAGGAGACAGGGGAAAAAAAATATTGTAAACTAGTTTTGATACATGCTTGAAAACGTGAGTACACAGTGATGGCGCTGCCGCTTCTAGCCGTGACACACGTCCCTTTGATTACCGAAGGGACAAGGACACGTGAGGTTGGAACAACCTGCATCCATAAATCCAACTCGCCTGTCTAGCAAGGGAGCAGAGATACCTTTCCTCTGGCTGTCAAAGGGCTCCAGCCCGGCAGCAGGAGAAGGCAAAGTCCCCATCACACCTACCCATTAACCCTCGTGCTCTAGCAGGGGTACGACGGCTCACGCTGAGGACCACGGTCCATGGCTCCTAACAGTCTCCCTTGAACAGAAAGGCAAGAGGATTTCTTTTAATATAAATCAGTTATTTTATTAAATGGGATTAACAATCAACTGTCCAGAATCCAAACAAGCAACTCTTCTTCAGAAACAATTTTTGGAGAAAAATTACTGAAAAAAAGCACCTAGTTCTTACTGCAATCATGTTCTTAAAAGTGATGCTTTATCATTTGCTTTATAAAATTAAGAAATTCACTCTCTCATATCCATCTATCTAGCTATATATATATAGGTGTATATATGCACCATGTTCTTCAGAGATGAGCTTTATAATCAGAAGACAAATATGGAAGCCCAGAAAGAATGGAAATACTCCCAGCACATGGTTGCTGCTGGCTGAGACTGGACCAGTCTGACACACTGTCCGTGGTAATGGTGACCACAGCCCCTTGTCAAAGGCCACTTTTTGGTATAGTATCTTTGGAGTAAGCATCGTGGCAGACACCTGGGATGCTAAAGCACACTGCACACTCCTGTAATAAAATTATGGTCTCTTCTCTGGATCCATGGCTCTATTGCATATTAAGTAAAAATACTATAATGCAATATTTCTGTATAAATTCTCCACCAAACTGAAGATGTGACTTCTAGCCAGTGTTGTGGTTGAGTGAGAGAAGCAATTCAGATGGGACCTGAGTAAATATGTGACATCGGGCCTTAGCTTATTAATTTACTTAAGCAGTTTTAATAGTGCCTAAAGATTACGTCAAGTCAGGGAGAGGGCAGAATGGTTAAAACAGGCAATCGATCATGGTTTTTCCAAGTCCTAAACAAAAATAGAGGAAGAGCAAACTACAGTCCACAGGAACTCTCCAGGATGAGTACAAAACTGGGAAAAGTCCCAGAAGGCAGATTTTGGCCCAAAATGGTAAAAATATGTTCCAACTTCCTATGCGTGTGTGAGCATGGTCATGGCCAGCTGTCAGCACAGCTGGAGCCCAAGCCCAAGGTGTGCGCTTCTGCGGCAGTGACATTGAGAGGTCTGATACACAGGAATCCTTATCCAAGAAAGGATGCCAAAATAATCGTGTTTTGTTGTTGGTTGGTGGGTTCTTTTTTTTTTTTAAATGCCCTTCAGATCGGGCAAGAGCACCAGCTTCCGGCTTGTTCTTGTTCCAGTCTTGTTAGTATAAGACTAACCCTGGGTAAATACAGCTGCGGCCAAACCTTCCTTCCCACACGGATGGGAATAAAGCTTCTGGTTCTGAAGCGCCTGCTCGCTCCCCGTCAGCACTAACCCACCTTTTACCTAGAAAGTTCAAGATTAACCCAAGATTAACAGTGACACTTAAAGGTGGTTATTTCTGCACTGCAGATGGGGGCTGGCAGGTCAGTGGGGCAGGACAGAAAAAGGGGGGAGGGGGAAGAAAAAAACCAAACCCAGAGGAAGTTCTGTTCTCATTACAGATGGAGAAGGGAGTCAGGCCAGGAGGCAGTTTCAGTTTGCTGGCACAACAGCAAGATAGGAAGCTGGATATCCATTTGGGAGACAGTTTGTGGGGGTGATGGGTAGGGTATGTGATGGCCTGATTCTGCTTAGCACTGTAAGGGTTAACACAGGTGCCAGTAATAGACACCGGCTCCGGGCACCTTCTCCCGGTGCTCCCACTAGCACAGAGAAGAGTCAAGCACGCATGAAGAAGGGCCACTGCTCCACGCTGGCTCGCAGGGATGGGTCACGATGCGTTGGGGACCATCCCATAGGCTTCGTACAGGGTGTTGAGCAGCTCCTGCTTTTCCTTCTCGGGTAAGAAGCTGGACTGAGCTGCGTTGATGTTCTGGGGAGGCAGAGGGGGAACACAAGGGAGACATTAAGACTCATCAGACATGAACATGTGGCTGTGTACATCCAAACATCTGGCTCTGAGCAGCAGCAGGAGAGGGAGAGTGTAAAGTTTCCACTCCAAGATTCATTTCCATGGCCTCAATTTACAGAGCAACTCCTCTGGCCTACCACTAGCAACAGTCCCAAGAGGAACGAAGCAGGCACAAAGCAAAGGTCTTTAAATACTCTGGAGTTTTTAGGAAACATACTTTAGACCCCTCCCTACACTCCCAGCTCCCCTTTGGACAAGAGCCTCTCCTGGCACAGCGGTGGTGGCAGCCTGATGTGCCACCTCTGGGACACAGCCCGGCTGTGCAATTTAACCCGCTCGCCTGTCTTGTGCAGGGACCTTCCTTTTATTACACAGGAACCACCTGGCTTTTGCAAGAGCAGGAGAGGACAGCTGGCAGCAGAACAGCTGTGGATCCAGAGCTGTCCTTGTTCCTCCTTCCAGACCTGGACTCCTGTTCCTCCAGGCAGAGCTCAGAGCAGGGCTGCTACTCTCTTGTAAAGCGCATCCTGCACGTCCCAATCGGAGCAAGTATCTTGGGTGACATGTAGGTGAAAGTGCTGACAATGCAAACCAAGAAAGCTTCCCCTGGTAAGCGGGTAAGTCAAATTCCCAACGGTTTTCCTGTCTTTCTGTCTTGGGTGAGTAATTAGAAAATCAAGGATGTAATCAAGACACATAAATGACTGTGTGCGCCAAAACCAAAGCCAGCAGTCACTTCGTTTCCAGCTCAGTTGTTGCATACTCATGTTATATGTGCAAAAAACTGCAAGCACTTTTGTAACTGCTGAATCTTCCTCATTTCTGGGCCAGGCCTTGAAATAACTTACCTACAATTCCAAATCCAGGAAAAAAAGAAAGAGGCACCTTCCTTCCTTCCTGCTAAGACCTGCCATGATGACATCAGTGGACAATTTCCACTCTGACCCGTTACCCATAGAGCCCAAAGCAGCCAGCCCAAGCGATGCAAGCCCTGCAAGCCCTGCAGAGCCCACCCTGCACAAAGCAGCACTCAGATCCTCCTGCTCCCCACAGCTCATGCCACTCCTCACATCCCCCCCCCCCCACCAGCCAAGCCG